GCAACCTCCGCCTCCCAGGTTCAAGCGATTCTCCTGCCTTAGCCTCCTGAGTAGCTGTTATCACAGGTGTGTGCCACCACACCCAGCTGATTTTTTTGTATTTTAGTAGAGACAGGGTTTCTCCATGTTAACCAGGCTAGTCTGGAACTTCTGACCTCAGGTGATCCTCCCCTCTTGCCTTGGCCTCCTGAGGTGCTGGGATTACAGCGTGATGCCACCGCGCCTGGCCAATATTTTTTCTTTTTTAGAAACGTTCATAATGCACAGGTACTCCCCACAAAATAATTTTTAAATGCCAGTTAATATTAAGCATATTACATATATTGTTTACATATGATGTAGTTACTCTATGGAAATCAAGCCTTATTCATTTAATTAGTACTGCTTTTCAGCAGTATTGAATACTAATGTTTTGTGGCCGTTATTAAGCCAACTTTCTTTCAAATGTAATTAGGTATCTTAACATCTAGCTTGAAGAGTTTTTTAATTCTTAATATAAATTTTCTTACATGTATTTCACTCACACATAATTATTTGGATAAGAAAACACTTAAAATGCCAGACTGGGTTAATAACATTTTCTGCAGTTCCTTAATTTAAGCTGGTGTTTTTAGTGCAGTCGAATTAAGGATATAAACCACTTTTTAACAATGTGCTGGATTTTTGGTTTAATAGGCTCAAGCTTGGCAAATGCCAGTTAACAAATGGGCACTTTGATTTATTCCACTTCCTTCTTTGTGGGCTTGTTACCTCTCTTGTCTTTCCTCTACTTTCCTTTTCTTATTCTAAGACCTTTCTGTCATGTCTCAAACTATAGCCTTAGCAAGAAATTTCCAAATTCTGAGCTGTGGTGTGTAGAACTTGCTAAATACTTATTAATGAAGTCCTTTTCAAGGCACTGAAAATAGTTTTCCTAGTCTTAGTCAGGGTTGGATAGGGGGATGTTCAGGGCAATTAAGGGCAAGGGGAGAAATGGCATCACTAAAGGTGAAACACAAGAACAGGTTAAAATGAACCTGTTGGTAATAGTAAATGAAAAAGCAAACTTGGAAGCCTTTTCTTTGCTTCTTTTGGGGTTTTTCTGGATTCAGAGATTTAATGTTGAAGAGTAATCAAATAGATTTGGCTAGTTCTTAAATACAAATGCACCCACCAAGTGTTTGTACAGGATTAATTATTAATATTAAGAGAATAAGGACTAGAGTGACTCATTGAAACTGAATACAGCCATCTTCGGTAACTTAGAAATTACCCAGACTTTCTGCTAATTCAGCCTGACCTTGCCTCCAGCTATCAAGGTTGAAGCCATCAGTGGGGAGTGAATAATATCAGCAGTAAAAAGGTGTCAGAAGCAGAGAGGGAAGACAGCAGCCAGGAATGGACAGGAGGTAAAAAGATGGAGAAGGAAGGAGTCAGATCAGGAGGTAGGAATGGAAATAGAAAAAGAGAAGGAGCAAAAAGAATACGGATGTAAATCATTGAAGTAATGTCAAGTATCATAACTTCAGTGTTTGAATATGCTTGCTTAGACTGCAGCAGGACAGCAGGACCTTCCAAGAATAAAGTTTAACCTTGGAAGGAAGGAGGTGAGCCAAAGAGAAGGGAAGTTTAAAAATACACTTGTTAAAATGCTTTTTAAATTTAGGATCAACATTAACAATGCACAGTTTTTTAACATAGTAATAATATTTGAGTCATTCTACTATGGAACACTGTTCTAAGTCCTGTACGTATTGGTTCATTTAATCCTTACACAACTTTACAAGCAGATACTATTAATATTTCTCTTATTTTACAGATGCAAAAACAGAGCCACAAAGAGAGTAAGTAATTTGTCTAGGCTAGTCAGATCACAGAGCCAAGATTGCATTTGAGGCAGCATGACTACAGCTTTATCACCTTTACCTCCCCGTCTCCATGATTTGTATGATGTATTTCTATAAAAATTTGTCTTGTTTTCAGAGTGTTACATTTCCTTGAGATAGTTATATATATATCTGCTAGAGTGACAAACTCATGACATTATTCAAACAATTGTAGACACCATTCATATCAACTTCCTTTTACTTTTTTCCTTTTAGAATAATCTGAGAAAGTTTATTAAACTAGGTCCAGAATATAAAAATAGATAGTGCATGGTCCCTGTCCCCAGTGAACTGAATCTCAGTTTGTAATTGTTTGGTTACTTGAACCAAACCAGTTGTACTTCTCCAACAATACTAGTGTGAATTATTTGGCTTGAACCAAGCTTGCACATGCCAGTGAATGTTTGCTGGCTTCAAAAGTATGCTCACCTTTAAAAGCTGTGGACCAACTAGTAATATTTCTGTTACCTAAAACATTTGGAATTCTTTTAGGCCTCACGACAAAATCAGTCTTCCATACAAAAAGCTACAATACCTAGTTTGATCACCTTCCTTAGTCATCCTTGAAATTAAAAGCCTCACATGGATATTCACAAAGTATTTATCAAAAAAGATGTTTTGTTTTGTTTTTACAGCCTTGATAGAGGAAAATGTTTGCAGGTTATAGAGAAGGAAATGTGAATGGAGTTAGTGGCTTTCACCAGGATCTTTGGAGGAGTGTTGGGTATTAATGTTGCACTGGAGGAGGATAAGAATTGAGCCCTGTTTAGAGGGAACAGAAAGACTTCTATGAGGAGTGTGGGTAAACAAATGAGCCTACCCTGAATATCACTGCTTGGCTCCCTGAATACTTAATTTTTGAAGTTATTTGTAGAATTTTAGAATGATTAGTACACATTCTTTGTTGCTTTTGAGACTATCTTCTAAGGAGAAGGTCTGTGTAGTTGGAAAGTATTTCTTGATAAGTGTCTTTTAGGCAAGTAAGAGAAATTTTGGATCATTTGACAGGAACTTTAAATACTAAATTGAGTCTAATTTGACTTTTGACCTGAGCCTCTGTTGCTTTGCTCTGACAAATAGTTTTAGCATTTGAAGGCTTGATTAGCCATTCCTCTGTTAGACATTAATAAGAGGAAAACTGAGAGTGTCTTTATTTTCTTGAATGTCTTATGTGGCCATTGGCTCTCAGAATTTTATAGTGGCATTTAGAATACTTTGAATTTAATATTGATGTCATTATATATTACCCATATCTCATTCATTCAGCAAGTTGAACCACAGCCACATAGTGCTAAATACTGGGAACACAAATAAATAACTGTTCTGTGGTCAGGCTACTTCCAGACTAAGTTACTCTTTTTTTTTTTTTTTTTTTTTGTGTGATGGAGTTTCGGTCTTGTTACCCAGGCTGGAGTGCAATGGCGCAATCTCGGCTCACTGCAGCCTCCGCCTCCTGGGTTCAGGCAATTCTCCTGCCTCAGCCTCCTGAGTAGCTGGGATTACAGGCACGCGCCACCATGCCCAGCTAATTTTTTGTATTTTTAGTAGAGATGAGGTTTCACCATGTTGACCAGGATGGTCTCGATCTCTTGACCTCGTGATCCACCTGCCTCGGCCTCCCAAAGTGCTGGGATTACAGGCGTGAGCCACCGCGCCTGGCCCTAAGTTACTCTTTTGAGTATTCTTAATTTTTCTAATCTTTTCCTTGTTGTAATTTTAAAAGGAAGAAATAAGTTGAAAGTCCAAATTAAATTTATTCACTCATTTTGAGGTAACATTATTTCTGGTTCCAGGGAAATTTTCTTCACCTCCGGTTTGGCATTATTTCTGTACGGTAATTCTTGACCCCCCAAGATATAATGAGACTCAAATGTTCACCTCTTGAAAAATGGGTACCCAAATCTTGACATTTAGAAATTGTCTTCTCATGGGAAATTTCTTGTATGTAATCTTAAAACATGAGTTTATTTTATGCCTATTTTCTGAGTCCACAGTTACTTGGTTTATTATTAATTTTAGGGGTAGATATTCAAACTTGATGTTTCTCTGTCTTAGTCAATATCTTTGTAGTGCTGTGTTCTTATACTTCCATCCCAAGGACCTAATTTCTAAGCTTAAAAAAAAAAATTGCTAGTTTCTGGATCTCTGATTAGCAAAGTTTCTACTATCTTGGTTTGTATTACATGCTTAAATCCTGGTGTTACAGCTGCTTTTATTATTGCTATAGTTAAGTAATAGAGAGAATTAAGAAACAGTTTTGTGTTCAGAATCCTCCTTATTGTCTTCTAGATACTTTTTCTGTCCCTTCAACAAGATAGTGAAGATAGGTATCTTGTGTGGCAGTTACAGCCACTCAATGAATCATTGCTTGATTTAAAAGAGCACTAGAATATGGTGACTCTGTGCCTAGAAAAGGAGTATAGTAGATAAATTGGACCCGCTTCTCCCCCTCCTCCTGCCCCCGCTCAGGTATAGCATCATCTTTTTGCTTGAGGTATTTTTTTTTCTTTGCCTCTACAATGTGCAAATTAATATTATTTAAACTTTCTCTTATTTGGCATTTTTAGTATGTTAAGTCAACTTATTTAGTATATCTTTTCCCTTTTCCCCTTGGTTCTATGTGTAAAATGAGTAAAACAAATTTTATAGAGTAGCTCTATTTAATCAATAACTTTATTAAAACTATTAATCTAGTCATAGCCCAACGCAGAGTTCATACTATTAATATTGCTTTCCTTCCTTGCACATCTCCCCCTTAGAAAATAGAGGGTTTTGGCCTGGTGCTGTGGCTCACACCTATAATCCCAGCACTTTGGGAGGCTGAGGTAGGTGGATCACCTGAGGTCAAGAGTTCGAGACCAGCCTGACCAACATAGTGAAGCCCGATTCTACTAAAAATACGAAAATTAGCCTGGTGTGGTGGTGCACGCCTGTAGTCCCGTCTACTCAGGAGGCTGAGACAGAAGAATAGCTTGAACCCAAAAGGCAGAGCTTGCGATGAACCAAGATTGCGCCACTCCACTCCAGCCTGGGCAACAAGAGCGAAACTCCACCTCAAAAAATTTAAAAAGGAACATAGAGGGTTTTTCAAAATGTATTTGTTTTTAAATCACCAGATTTTTATATTTTCTGCAGATAATATCGCCTACTGCATTATTTTTGGCTGCAAAAGTGGAAGAACAGGCTCGAAAACTTGAACATGTTATCAAAGTAGCACATGCTTGTCTTCATCCTCTAGAGCCACTGCTGGATACTAAATGTGATGTATGTAAATATTGGGTTTTTTATTTTTCTTTGTAAATTTGAAACTTTTTCGTAATGTAGGCCTAATAAAAACACAGTTCAATTAGTGTTGCCTTCCAAATGCTGCTTATTTTTATTACCTCTTAGGAATGCAATGCTAGGAATCAGTCTGGCAGGAAAACATTTCATGTATATTCATGAATTTGGATGTCATTCTGAATTAAAAGGCTTTGGTTCTAGATACTTTGTAGATTCAAAGATACTTTGTTTCACATTTTGTTGTTCAGAGCTATGACATATGTAGAGGATAAGTCATATCACCTCCACTGATAGCTGTATTTGAGACCAGAATATAAATAACTCTCTTAAATTGACAGCAGATGAAGGAACAGAAAGTCTTCTGAATTTACCCCTAGACAAGTAATTAGTCTTTTTAAAGTATTTTTCCTTTTTTAGTGTATGTACTACTACTTACCTCTCTGATACATAAAGCTGCATTTTACTATGCTTTCATGAGCAGTGTTCTTTTAGTATTTTAATTTTCTGAAAGAGTAATGTCACTTTCCAGACAACTTTTCATCAACATTGTAAAATAAACCTTATTTGAAAGAACTATTTTAAATTTTTCTGACATCTGAAGATGGAAGTTAGAATTGTGGCCCTTTAAAATCATTTTTCTAGCATCCTGAGTTGCTTAATCAGGAACCTTTATTCATTGAATGACTAACATTATATTAATTGAAGTTGATTTAAGTTAAAGTCCAGATTAATTTAAGCTTTAATGGAACTATATCTGATTTTATTAATAGCAAGTTTTATCATAGATTTTGGCTTTAAGGGAGTAAACTGTTAATGTAGCCATTAAATAATAATGAGTTTGTCGCTATTTAAAGGTAATTCCAGCAGTTTCTATTAACTATACAAATTCAGAATTATTTCCAGGGGTACTGTTCAAATAATAGAAATTCAGTACGTTCTAAAAATCAGCTCAGTGACCTTTCAGAATAGAGCATAAATAAAACGAAAGGTGCTTTTACTCTCTGGCTTTAGCAATATGTCCTTACAAAAATGAATATAGGTATATTCATTAGGTAATATAGTATTTCCTTATCACTTTGGTCAATTGTCATGATTTCAGAATAAGACAGCAGTAAATTTTTCATATCCTTTATTTCCAGAGTAATTGTAATGGAAGGATAATTTCTTGCAATTGAGTAAGGAGGGTCTCTGATATTTATGTCCCCATGGGTATGAGATAAATTATTTTGGTATGTTTGGTCACTCCTGAGGTGGCAGAGAAGTTAATTCTAAATTAACTCACTGACTTACTGTGACTTTCAAGGTATTACCACATGAAATATCCTAGAGTGAGTTTGTAAGCCGGATTTGAGTTAACGTCAGGTTTGAGTTCAGTGTTTTTAGTTGACTTGGTGCTTCCTGTCTTTAATATCTCTTGAAGCGCCAGTGCCTAGAATGTTTCACTTTACAGACTGTGCACATCTTATTTCAATTATCTTACCCCTTTCATATTGTTTACTTTTTTGTTTTTTGCTGTTTATTTCCTGTTGTAGAAAATAATTCATTTCAGACTTGCTACAGAATATATGTTTTCTCTGTCACCCTCAGTTTATTTTCTCCGTATTTCCAAAGTACTATGGTTCTTTTGTAATCAACCTGTAATTCTCACAAGATGTAACAGTCATGTAGTCTAGTAAAGTTATTTTTATTTTAATCAATTTGATAATATTTTTATCTGACAGGCTTATCTTCAACAGACTCAAGAACTGGTTATACTTGAAACCATAATGCTACAAACTCTAGGTACGTACTTACACATCAGATAATGGCTTTTGTTTGTACTTCAATAAAGTATTCTAAATAAGAGAAAAGATTTCTGAAATAATTTTATTATTGAAGTTATTTTAAAACAGGCTTTAGACCAGAATAAGATTGCCTGGTTATAAGGAAATTACTTTTCTAGAATTTAATTTCATTTGGCATAATTAAATTGAATGGTAAACATACCTTTCAGTGTGATTTCTTATGTGTTCAGGTAGTTGAAGTACTGTGCCTCACTCTGGATTTGCACTGGAGAGTAAAATGGTGCTTTAGGGCTGTTTCATATTGTGATGTGTACCAGCATACACAGCAACCCTTGTTCTCCCTGAGCTTCCAGTCGGTATTTTATGAGTATATCGCATGATTTTTAATGTGACATATTATTTAAATGTTGATCATCCTTTTCTGAAAGTTGTATCTTTGTATGCAAGTTCATTTACTCTCACCATTCACCTTACTCAGTTTACTAAAATTGAGCCCTAAGAAAGTGATGGCTTATCTAAAGTCATACATTAGTTCTGGATGAACCTACCAGGATGTTTGAGAAAGAACATGGGCTTTGGGGAGATCTGAGTTAAAATCTGTAGGCCTCCGACTTGCTTTGTAAACTTGGGCAAAAGTTCCTTTACCTGTTGTACCTTCCATTCTGTGGAGGTGGAACAGTATCTGTATCATATCGTGAATTTGTTGTTTTTAAATGTATTACTACATTCCCAGATAGAAGTGTGATAAATCAGTCACAACTTCCCGTTGTGACGGACTCTTCATTACAAAACTAACTTGTGGGAAATACATATACAGTTGACCCTGAAACAGCACAGATTTGAACTGCATGGGTCCACATGAATTTTTTTTCAATAAATAATATTGGAAAAATGGAAATTTGCAACAATTTGTAAAACTGTAGATGAACAGACCGGGTGCGGTGGCTCAAGCCTGTAATCCCAGCACTTTGGGAGGCTGAGGCGGGTGGATCACGAGGTCAAGAGATCGAGACCATCCTGGTCGACAGGGTGA